TACAGTCTTGTCTGCAGGAATTGGTAAATACCACGTTGAACCACGGTATAAAAACGATTTCCGCTCTATACTGCGGAGACCATACTACAACAGGCTATACGTTACTAAAGTAATATATTTAACGCGCAATGTACGTGTAATATACCTAACACTAAACCAATCGTAATAATTATACAACTAATCGAAAATCATTAAAATTATTTAAAAATCCGATATCATAATCATTCAAAGATTAATGTATACGTGTAAATGATAATATACACACATCAGCATAGATTAAGTATCGGTACTTAATATGCTTTATATTATGTATATAAATTTTCGGGGCGATGTTTTTATTTCGATCTAGCAGACAGAGAAAGCCCCTCCGGTCAACATGTCAATTCCATTTCGTCGGACCCGCGAGAAATCGAAAACCACTTACTGTACAGGTCTCCAGGTCACCCGTGTGTGTATGTTTGTATCTGTGTGAGCGTACCGAAAATGACTAATGAGCGACGTGTGTTCACTCGACTTGTGGTATAAACTTGGAACGGTATACACACAAGTCATATATACACACACATAAACACGAGCGTGAGGAAAAGAAGGGAAAAAAAGGAGTAATATTGTAATAATAATAAAACTGAAAAAACCTTGGGGCGGCCGAGAGGAGAATGGCCTCTGATTATAATAGTGATGATGAACCATGAACCTGAAGCCGCGCTTATATATGAGTATGTGTATATAATGTATAATTTCGTCTGCTGCCGTCGCTGCTGCTGACCTCTACCGAAAAACACATGTCACTTCTGAAAACGCACTTCTTCCGATAATTACACGTAAGTTTAATATTATTATAGTTATACCTATACCAGAATTAGTATTGTTATAACACTTATAACATAACGCCTCATGCAAAAGAACGAGTGCAGCAACTACACGTGTCGTCTGTTGGTCTTTCTTTTGTTTTTTATATTATTTATGTACAGAGTGATTTTACAAGTGTGGCCACCACGCTTTTTCCCCTTTTATAATGCTTAATATATTCAAATTTTTATTTTTGGAATTTTTAAAATATAAGTTGCAATCAAACATTTAATTTTTTAACTATTTAAAGAGTATCCTATGCTCAGCAATAACTACAACATATATTAATCTACATGATATTTACTATGTGGTAACCACCGATCCTTTTTTATTGTAAATTGTTCTAATAATGATTTTTGAAAGTATTTAGGGATCTAAATTAAAATGAATTTAAGTACCTATTTTTAACTTTTAGAGTTATTTAACTTTGTCCAAGAGTCGACCTAAAAATTAAACATGTTTTTATATAAATTATAAAATAAATTTTACATTTAGTTTAAAACAATAATTATTTATATTTAAACAACTTTTACTAATTATACAATTTCAATATATTATCTAGATATTAATTACTATAATTTTTAAATCATCATAACCCTCTGCCCTCATATATCTTCTTAACTTATTATAATGGTTTTTGTACTCAATATATAACATTTTATTGAAAAAATTATATGTTTAATAATTTATATTTTAGAAAATGACAGTTCATAGTTGAAAACGAAAAATTTATAAAAATCTAAGTTGTTAAAAATATTGTCGTTTTACATAATTATTATACACAATCACAATTTGAAAAAATTAAAAAAAAAAACAAACTTGGTGAATCTTTTTGAATATTTTGCACATAAAAACGAAACAGTGATGGTATTTTAAGACAACTATAGGAAATATTTTTATTTACTTTCTTGAATAACAATTAGGCTTCCGAAAAATATTGTTTCGGAATAAGAAATTTAAAATGGATATTATTATTCAAAAACGTAATCATTTATAAAATGAAAAATAAATTTCAAAAATTAAATGAATTAGTAAATAATTCAAATTATCTAATAAAAATATTTATAAAAACGATAATGGGTACTTTTTGAGATATTAAGTATTTACTATAGATTTTGTTTAAATAATCACTCTGTATGTATATATGAGAAAAAATACAAGCGCCATAAATGATTCTAAAAATAACAACAAGTTATCGGGTTTCAGATTAATGGAAGTATTACCTGAACGTTAACAAGTTGTATAAAAAAAGAGGGCACCTACCTATAATATTTATAGGTAGGTTGCATGCGTATTCGACGCGTTATATTAATATTATTCTCGCCCTGACAGCTGTGACGTCGCATAATGTTGTGTTCTAAATCTTGCAATTGTATCTACATTTCAAACGCACGTTATCGAAATGACGTCAAGATTATGGATTATTCTGGATACACATATTGGAAAAATTATATTAAAATTTACGACCGAGGATCAAGTGTTTACGGATTCCAGATGTCGGAAGTAGAAAGCAATAGTTAATGGAAGATCCAAAAATGCCGCATCGGAAACATTAAGATTTATTATCATATAGTAATGTTAAAATAATTAAAATAAATTGCCCCCCTCCCATCTTTGACCCTGGCGGAACGAGTGGCAAAGAAATCGACGGTTATGCGATGGTGTGATATTATTATTGAGCATAATTATTTTTTTATGTTATTCAAAACATTGTAAGTAGTCTTTACTTGGAGGTACTTTCAGTGTTTACCCTACAACTGTAGTGAAAATTAATTTCAAAAACGAACAAAGATTTTTCCCACATTTTATAGCTTTTAATTAAAAGAGTTTGTGAAAACATATAGCATACAGTAAAAAACATTTAATAAAATGGTTCTAAGTTGCATAAACTACATTTTTTACTTACATCACAAAAAATAATAATATATACGGTGTATAACTTCATATCGACCCTTATGATGGGTTTATTTGAACAGAAATGAAATAATTTTTTTATCTTGTGCATATTATGTCTTATTGTCTGCACTTGCTGCAGCAAGACGGAAAAACGTGTGTGGTAAACATTTATACGGAAAACAATAATTATTATTGTCTGAATAATACTATTGTATCAAAACAGAAACGACATCGCCTCTCAGTGTGGTAGACACACTAGCAGTCACACAAGAGAATTAAGACGTTCTGACAAACGAAATGAAACTGTAATAATATACGTCAGAGTTTCGGTCATAAAACTAGTATTTAAGAACCTTTGGTGTCGTAGTATATAAAAATACGGTCGGATTTTCGGGGTTCTATTGTTGTTAGGCGTGCATCAAATACGAGGACGGATGAGAAGGGAAAAAAATACGAAATAATATTATATGGTCAGCCATCGTTTGGGGTAAGGACCTTGAGAACTGTGGGACATATACACAAAAAAACTAATAATCGATCCACACTCAACGTGCATACAAACACACACGCACATGCAAGTCGGGTTTCGTGCTGCGTTACGGGACGTCGCGAGTCAAAGAAGCCGACGGACGACCGGTGTACCCGCCACTTCAGGCCCTTATCGAGTGATTTATACGAGCGGTACTGCTCAATATAATATATAGTATATTATGTATATAAATATTATAATATTGTAATAGTGCACTTGTAGCCTAAATACGACCAGTATTCGAAGCCATTCGACAGTAATAATATTGTAATGATTAGCGAAAACCGATGTGTACATTCGGTAAATCGGCACGAATTTAACGTTTGTATTAACGAGTTGAAAAAAAAAAAATCAAAATATCGAACGTGTAGATCCGGCAGACGACAACGATGCAAATCGTATAGACCGGAGAAGACCCGTATAATGTGTGCCCTCAAAACCGGACTTCGTAAAGGTCCTGTCCTTGAAGAAACCGCCGTCTGGACCGACAGAGAACACAATATTATAGTATGATATACATATATGTATATTACTTGTAAAATACGAACATGTATATATGTACCATAAGTCATTGATAAAATCGTTTTTTTCCCCTATAGAATTCATATTTTGTTTTGTTTAGGAAAATCGCTACGTTCTCATAGCTTTACGACGTAAGACTTTAGACATTACCCAAACGGACAACAGTTCTTAATTTTATATTGTTCAGTACCTACAATATGCAAAAAAAATTAGCAAATTTTGTACTTTTTTTAAATTTATTATGTATATATATTATTATTATTATTATTATTAAAAAAAAAGCACGAAACGTGAATACCGCACGATTTTATGCATAAACTAGCGAAATACCGAATACGATTATAAAATGGACAATATTATTTTTATTATGGGTAGGCAGTAAATATTATTATTACACTATAAAATATAAAATAAAAGTACATAGTGATATTTAATATTTTAAGAACTCGTTTTTTTACGTATCGTCTATATAATTTTGGTTTAGTTTCTTAATTTGTCAAAATATTGTACTTAAATAAATTTACAACAAATCGTTTTCCACTATAATTATTGAGTTCAATAATAATAAGTATGTTTTGTTAAAAATTTGTGATCGTTTGAAAACTAACTTTTTTTTTTTTTATTTGTATCGTTTCTGTTGATAGATGTTTTGTTCCGTAACGTTTATTATCTAGAAACACGCTAGAAAACCACGCTATATATTCTTTATTGTTGAGACAAACGCATATCATTTAAGACATAATTTTCAATGACGTGCCCTTTTCATTTTTTAAATACAAATTAAGGCACCTGTTGCGCCGTGGGGAAAACGATGATACTGTAATTGTAGTTAAATAATTTTGTCTCTTTCTCAAGAATAACGGTTTTTTTTTTTTTTTGTTAATATTTTCATTAAAATTTCTTGAAAGTAGCATGTGTTTATAAAAATAATCATCTAACTACATACACACTAATTAAATTTTTTCCTCAATAACGGGTGGATGAAACGAATTATGGGTATTAGTATACGTGTCACAATTTTTGAGATACATTACACGATCGAGAGGAATCATAAGCATTTTATAATATAATATGATCGATGATCGAAACGACACAATACACTAAATCAGATTGCGCGGAGACTCGCGACGATAACCACAACAATAATCATAATAACAACAATGATATCACAATCAATGCGACCGCATCGCGACATTATCGTTACCTTGCAACTTGATTTCCGTCTCCCAGAACTTTTGTAGCTCGGTGAAGTATTTGTCGAGTATGAACACCTTAGAATGGCCCACGCTGGCCATCACACCCGAATCCGGTACGGTGGTATATACAGGTATAGTCGTGCGAGTGCTTCTTTAAGGAACTGCCGTCTTCGTTCGTCGCCAAGTCATCGCGGTTCGTGCCGCAAGTCACTCGTCTGAATCACGTTATTAAGTTTGCTTTGCAGCTGTACGAGAAGTCGCCGACTTCATCGCGACAATACTGACACACAATTGAACTAACGATTACGCAAAAAAAAAAAAATAAAAAAATTACGAACAGGCACGCCGGGACGGACACGATCGCACAACGCGACGGACGGACACGGACTGCAGCGGCAGCCAGAGAGCTCGGGGCGGCGGCGGACCGACGACCGCGGGAGGATTCTTCAACTATCGAGCACCGGCAGCGGCGCTAACTATCGATACACGGCGTGTCTAAAAGGTAGGCGGCAGGACGTGCAACTATAGAGGCAATAGGTAGGCAGGTATATAAGGTATCCGCTATCGTCGCGTTTCCATCCCGAGCCGTCTCGTTATTAAATCTGAGGTCCGCGCTGCTCGCTATATTTTTACTGCTACTCGGCCGCGGGGGTTAATCAAAATCAAGGTCATATTCGTAGTACCGACTTTCTCGGTTTGTTCCTTTTCATTTATTTCTGTTTTCCGGAAACCGCATTAGAGGTATAGCGAGTGCGCACAAATATACTGCAGAGTTTTGAGTTTTAAAGTACCCACTTAACGGGGCTTATCATACGCCGCCGCCGCCGTTTCGGATATCAATGTGACCGTTGGTCGCCGTGGCGGTACGCGAATGTATTATAATGTGACAAGCGCCCAGACGAAACACAAACATGAAAAACGTAATATTCGTTGTATGAACGTTTTTTTTAACAAAAAATTTTCATTTGGATAACAGCTTTCACGCGATTCGGTTTACGACAACAGTACGTCTATAAACACACATTTTAAGATAATTATATAATTTTAAAAACTTATCAGAGTTGTACGTTTATTTTACTGAAGCAAAAATCGTATGTGACAACAATAGTGTTTAACGTTATCATATTAAATTACAACGATATTTATTATAACGTAATTTTTTATGTATAGTGTGCAATGATTATTGGTTACCTATACATGACATACATCTCCATTAAATTAAGATAATAACCGTAAATTGTTTTGTCGTTGAAATGAATGTGTTAATATACTGAATTTATAACTACTTTTACTGCTTAATGTTAATTTATTTTAAACGGTGTTATTAAAATAAAAGAGTATACCAACGTGAAAAATAATAATAGAGAAAACATTCCTTGACCACGCCGTTTGCCTACTTCCATGTTTTTTAAATGCAATCCTCGAGTTTATGATATATAAGTATATAAGCAATACTTAATGTTATAATAGTATGATATAAATTATATACCAGTACTATATGTGTGGAAACTTTAAGACGGAGAAAAGTTCATTAAATAATGTCAAACTGTATCAAATTACAAATAAAATTAATAATGTAAATTCGACTAATTCATGAATATTGTACCAACTTGTCTATATAGTTTCAACTATAACAACTGAAAATTTATTTATAAAATGAGGCATAAGACTAAAAAATACAAATTTCAAGTACACATTTAATTGTATGCATTTTCGGTATTAAAATATCATGATACCAAAAATGTAAAGAAACAACGGGATTTATGGATCATCGAATACGTTTAACATTAAATTTATATTTTTTTTATGCATAAGTATAATTGGAGAATAAAAATCAATTCTCGTATAAATAGGTAATATATATTCTTTACTAAGACGATGGTTTTTTGATTTAATTATGTATATTATGCAATTTTAAGAGTATCTATTTCAACTAAATTATTAATTTTTTTTATTTCGTATCTGAAACTGAATAATAAGATATGTGCACTATAACGCGTTTACATTTCAAAGATAATTTTTGCATACATTTAAAAATTTCAGAATATTAAATATAAATTTATATTTATTCTAATAGCATTTAACATTAATATTATTATGGAGAAGTTTCGTTAGTGTTTTGCCATCCAAATTAATTAGGGTTACCAATTTCTTGGTTGTATAGTAGATGCTACTTCGAAATGGGGGTATTGGAATTTAATTTTTTTTCTGGTACTACGACGATATTTTTGATTTTTAAAAATAAAAAAAACTAACGTATTTAATTTATAATAATCAAAATTATATGCAGAGCAATATAAAAAGTATAACACGGTCGATACATTATAACTATCGGTAGTATTTGTAAAAATGCGTTTAAATATTCGTATCAAATCGTGAAATATTAAAATATTATGATTTGAACTTTGAAAGATTATTTATGCAATTCAAAACTCTTTCATTGTATATAATTAATATTTATGAACAAGTTCTTGTGATTCATTTAGTTTATCTAATTTCCTAGTTTAAATAAACCAAATCAAAAATTTACATTATCATATACTTAAGTATATAAAATATATACTAAATAATAATAGATATGCACAGACAGACAGACAGACAGTACCTACAGCTGGTTACAAACAGATTATAGGAAATTTGAGGCTTTCAAGTTTGGAGTTTGGTTGCCCGCCATAGTTACACGGTGTTATACTAATAAATAATAATTACCTCGCAAACACCAATTTATTGAATATGGTATAAAAGCAAAAAAAAATATTGTGTACCTATTGAATATTAAGCTTAGATGATTATGAAATGCATATAAATTAGTGATGATATTACGTAATTTTTAATTTACATAAAATCATAGTTATATATACGTGTGTGTGTCGTGTGTGCGTGTAACTATAAGATGATAATTTTAGTTGGACCAAACAGTATCTTAGAAAAATAGAAAATGCATAAAATTTAAGACTTTTTTTTAAACACTTTAGAGCATATTTATTATTTTATACTTTTCTATTATTATCAATATTTGTTCTTAAAAAAAACATATTTTATTTTCCAAGATAATTCATGGATCACAATTAAAAACATATGCTATAACAATTTTATAACTTATACATATTTTGTAAATCATAATATATATATATATATATATATATATATATAAACTTGTAGATCGTAGCGTTTATAAACACGTATAGTATAAAAACAATTTTTTTCACAATATACCCATCCTGACGAGGGCGCGTTTTTAAATTAGATTTATCCAATTATTTTAATCCCATGAACACGCACACGCATACACACACAGCCATATATATGTATATATATATACACTTACATATGTATCTTTAATATGTTTTGTTATAACGTATTATTTCGATATTACGCACTCTGTTGTTCGGTAAAGCGTGTTTATTTATTATACATAAAAACAGAGTAAATATGTATCACATTATAATACATTATAAATGCATACGTATAATATAAGTCGACAAACGTATATTATGATCAGTGAACTTACTTAAATAAGATACCTCTGTGCAATAAATGACGAAAGTTCAATTACATTTGTTCAGATCTATCCATGTAATAATGACTCTTGTTAATTTTTCTGTTATTTTCCGTTCCCCGTCAATAGGTAGATAGAAGCAGACAGCGTAGCATAAATATAATAAAATTATAACTATATATACCTATTATACATAATATTGTATAAATATATACAAAATGTGTTGAATAATATTACGTCCGCTATTATTATATTATATACTATGTTATTGTATGTGTTCTGCACGTTATAAGTCGACAACGAGTACAATTGAATGAATATTGTATATGCATTGAAATCTTCGTGATATAAGATATACATACCTCTACCTTCTACATTTTTTCTAATTGAATATTATAATGTTATGAATGTTGAAAAATAAATTTCGTTTATTTATTAAAGTAAAACAGATAAATAAGTAATTGTATTTAAAAAAAAACTTACAATAAAATAAACTACGTTTATGAATGAAAAGAGAGTGTATATACCATATATATGTATGTACACGGGGTGCATTACGGCATAAATATTAAAGTAATCGACAACGATTTTGGACACTAAAAAAACGATTTAAATGTTAATTTAAACAATGCTATTGAAATATATGTTGTTTTATGGGGTATGCTTCTATTTATAGTGTGTGGGTTATTCGACGAATTGAAATATATATTTTAAATGTTTTCTATAATCATAAAATCAGATACCTAATATCCACTTCCAAGTGAGTATTTTAACCCGTACCAAACCCGAAATACCTAATGCACATTATCGAATGGATATTTCCATTATATTATATAACATTAGGTATATAATATTTTGTTCGAACACACGATCGAACGATAAAAAAATTGAGTTATAAAGTCTACAGAACTCAGTAGGTATAACATTTTACGGTACTCATACTAACTTATTACATTATACTACATAGTAAAAATAATAATAATAATTGTCACGGGTATAATATAATACAATATATTGTTAAACGCACTGCAGTTGCGGAGAACATTTGGCGCGCAATAATTTTATAACCAATTCAATTGTCCGAGACAATTTTTTTCCACCGTCTTGGCGCTCTTTGATTCGATTTTTTCTCTGGTTTTTTTCGTCATGGCCGCAATGCGAGTACCTCTAAGTCTGCTACGGAAGAGACCGTATTTGTCGACCTTTTCGGAATTCATTAATGGGCTTATTGTACTTGTTTATTTATTTATAAATATAAATAAATAAATATATATATATATGTATATATAACCAATAGTATCTTCCCACCACGAAAAAAGAAAACGAACGTTCGGTGGTGTAATAATAGTACAATATTATACCTATGCGCAGACGGAAAACATCGATGTTGCGCCGCAAGACGGCGGCAGCGGCAGTAACTAGAGACGACATCGATGTTTTTCGTATCTGCCATTATATACACCTGTCCAGGGCCACACATACGTATACGAGATCACCCGACTCGAATATATATATATATATATATAGGTATACATCGGTATAGCTGGTACACACGATGGTTTATATACCTAGTCGTATGTATACGGCGAGTGGATGTGAGAATCGGTCCTGTGATGTTGCAGAGGGGGCAGCAGTAGGGAGGACGGTGCGGACGGCGGCGGCGCACAGACTCCTATAGAGCCGGGTACGAAAACAGGTTTTGAACAAACAAGAAATAAAACATAAAAAAAAAAAAAAATAAGAATAAAAAAAATAATGAGAAAGAGAACATAACATAATACCTGCGCCTTGGGTATTTCTTCGAACTCTCTTTCACCTCTACCACAGGCCGCCGCCGCCGCCTCCGTGACGGTAGAACCGAATGGAGAGAAACACCTTATCTCCTCCCCACCGGCCTTTCATTA